GGGGGGCGTGTCAGGTCAAAAGGCGTTAACCCAGACTCTGTGTGCATTACACAGTAGTCAATGGGTGCAGAATTAAAAAGAAATGGAAAAATCTTGAAAATAAATGCACCCGGCAACAAGGCAAGGTAAAATAAATAGTATTGAGCTCCTCAGAAGAAGGATATTATTGTTGCTCTTGCCAAGTTGAGTGGCTCAGAAACCCATGTTGCTTTGAACTTCAGTTGTGAAATGACAAAAATGGAATCTTGTTGTTGACTGAGAATCAGTGAGAATATTGCTGGTCTGGTAATTGGTAATATGGCATGGTATCGTAGGGAGTTTACTTATTATGTACTTTGCCTACCTTTTGCAGCCTCTGTTACCTTTATTTATATTTATGGTGTCGAGAGGACAAGCAAACATCTTTCTCTTTATTGTTATGTATGCTTGTATATATACTAGTTTTCTTTAATGTTTCTCCTACTGCTCCAGCAGTTGAAAATATCTCATCGGAGATGTTGGTCTTCTGAGATTTATTATTGTTATTTTTCTGCCTTTCCTGCCCTGCTTCTTCGTGTGTTTTTAAAAATTAATTAATTAATGTAGGTGATTTTACTCCCCCTTCCTGTCTGTTAGGGCCAACCTTGGCTGAGAGAGATACAACATCATACTAGAAAGATAGATACTAGATAACAATTTTTCCCCTCTAAGGAATCAACACTAGGTCTCCTGCTTGCGACTGCGAAGCTCTTAACCGCTACACCACGGACGTTGGTTCTCTTCCGCTGTATCCATCTAATCTTTGGTTGTATGCTCTCTCATTGATGCATCACTTTTTGCCGATTGAAAGAATGTATACTTTTTCTCAAGACTGTTGGCATTCTTAAGGATTAATTTTAGATTCAAAATCATTATAGTCAGGCACGAATAATTCAAATACATCAGGTTTTGACAAATTTCTTTGACTCATCGATAATTCGGGTTAAAAGCTAATGGTAATTAAAAACTGAATAGGCATCAGTCTGGGAATGGCAATTTGTACGAGCTATTCATGATTTTAAGTTTTTTGTGTTCGTGTTGTCTGTGCCCAATTTTATCAGCTCTTTTAATGGTTTTTAAATTTTTTCATGAAACCCCCTATTTATATAGCGTGCCATTTAATTTGATGTTGTTCCCACCTTTTTAAAAAATGCAAATGTGTTCGAGTGTGTCTCTACCAAAACCGAATAGGCCCTACTGACAATGGCCGACCCCTTGTGTGTGATTCCTTAATTTACATGCAAGTAATATCCTGTACTTTTTCTTAATAAATTACACATATTTAGGGTTAAAACGGCCAATCTTTTGATAGGTTAACACACGTCTTTTTTTTTTTTTTGGTTAATTTTTGTGGTTGTTTATGTGCTGTTCTAATTTTGATTTCATTCTGTTATGAAACTTTTATTTTTCACGTTTTACATCCTGTGTGGCTACAAATGAAATTCTGGTCGCTTAAAACAGAACACAAGAAATTCTGGTGCTTTAGTTTAACCCTATTCATACGCCCTGGCGTCATTTTGTACCCCCGGGTTGTATTCTTCACATTTTAGAATACTTCTAAAGATCTCTTTGCGAAGATCTCTTTGAAACTTTCAGTATTTCTCAAAAAATCATTTTGACAGACTGCTATGCAAAGCATACGGATTGGATGCAAAAATGGCAACAAACGCAGATGCTAGTATAGTGCTGTTGAAATTGCCCAAAATATGGTTCTATGTAAGGACTGTAGTAGGTTGGAAGGCGTTATTCTATGGGCTGTTTTCAGAACATACCTACTGTTGCACGTGTGTTTATTAGGTCAGTAGAGAGAGAGTTGAGATAGAAAGACATGGAACGAGGAAGACAGGGTTTGGGAGGGAGACTGAAGCATTGTATGTGTGTTTGTTTGTGAATGTGTTTGTGTGTGTATCAGAGAGAGAGAGAGACAGAGAGACAGAGAGAGAGAGAGAGAGATGATCTTAAAAGATATTTGTTATCTGTAGTACATTTATTCTATATATTTTTTATTTTTGTCTAGTGTGTCCTGAGCTATTTTGGACTGAATGATGGCATTGGCAAACTTCATGCTCAGCTCAGAGATAATTTCCTGACCCTCAGTGATACAAAGCTGGTTGAAAATGATGATGTCGTAGTCAAAGTGAGTTCACTTTGCTGTTTTCCATTTTTCCCTTTTCATATATATGGTCACCACTTTGATTTGAAAAATCAGTAGATAGATACTTGCTGATCCACCATGTGAATGTTTATAAATCAGAAAAGGGCTCACCTTCAGTAACATCAATGAGAGTATTATGAGTTTGTGAAATGGTTGCTTGTCTTGGAAATGAAATTAATAAAATCTGAGAAATTGTAGCCTACATTTAAAAGAAATTCTTTTTGATGGGGTCTTTTAGGGACAAAAAACAGCCTCGAATTTTTCAGACTGTCTCTTTCCTGTCTTTCAATCTTTTATTATGTCTTGAGATAGAAGTTGTTGAAAATATTCCTCTCTCAAATACTTTAATACAAGCAGATATATATATATATATATATATAATGATTGGCTAATTTCTGCACTGTAGGTTTTTAAAATTTTATTTTGACATCTGATGAACTTTGAACTTCCGGCTGCATTGTTACACAGATTGGCAACTTGCTTTTGTTATCGAAATCTAGAGTTTGAAACAGAAGGAAAAACTTACTATTCACTCTTAAATATGTTGCCTTTGACAGGATTTCCCACTCATCTGGAATAAGAGTTAACTGCAGAACTCAGTATGATATCAAGAGATAAGACATTAATTTGTGAATGTTTTTCTATTGTGTCCATAGTTTTCAGTATGAATGAAGAAATAAAAAAACAAAAATGGGGAGTTTTTTCTTTTCAGCCATTTTCCATTTGAACTCTTTACAGCATCCAAACTTTTGTCCAGTATACAATTTGACTCCAGAGATCATAACAACAATTGCTCCAGAAGTGAGAAATCGTGGAATTGATGTGGGAGCATGTATGTTGTTAGAGTCATCAGATGGAAAAATATTACTCTCTCGTCGTGGTCTCCATCTCCGAACATTTCCAGGGCTCTGGACACCTCCAGGTATGTATCCGTGTTTGATGTTTCTGGACAGATAATATATAAGAGGTGACCAGATAATCATCTCGTCAGTGGGGTCATTTAATATCAATATATATATAAAATAATGTCATTCAGTGTCAAATGATGACAGCTTTACTTCATAATGCTGGTTAGTTAAGAATACAGGTAATATAGATTAAATATATATATAATATATATATGTACGGGAAAAACCAGCGATGTCAGTTTTTTTTTTCTCCGGATTATTGTCCCAGCATGATGCCTGGCTGGGTCTGCGTTAGTCCATCTATGTCACATATGGAAAAACCGGCGATGCCGGTCTCTGTGAGAATGAGAAAATATAGCCCACAATGGAAGAACCAGCGATATCACAATGTTAACAACGGAAAACCAGCGATGGCAAGCATTTTTTTCTTTGTTGCATCCCCTTGGGACCTATCAGTGGTCATATTTCAGTGAAAAATGGTGATATGGTATAGGTTTTACGCCCCTGTCAACACTATTAAATTATTTAGGGAGGCGGGACCTGCGAGTTTAACGTCCATTCCTGAAAGGACCGAGCCAAATAGAAAATTCCTGTAAAGTGCCTTTCCCAACCTTTCTAATTTCAAATAGTGGAAAAGTAGGAAAAATGTTTATATATGTGTAAAAATCAGTAGCACTGCCGGTTGAAGCACCAGCTGTCGACTACCCCTAAGATCTAGCAAGGGAATGCAAAGAAGAAAAAGAAGAACCTGAGAGAGACTTGGAAAAGAATGATAAAGTTGAGGAGAAAAAAGTCTGAAAAAGAAAGGCACAATAACTGATAAATTGGCTGTGGGTAATGATCTATGTAATGAAAAGATGCCATTAAATTGTTTATAATTAATTATGGTGTATGTTGAACTTGATCCCCTTCTATACAATAACAGGATTTGGCTGTAACAAGAATATCATTTTGTCCCCAGTGGTCCCATAATTGCTGGGGCCATTCGGTTGTACTGCTTTGTTATTGTTTGAATTACCTATTAAATTTTCTATCTTCAGTGTATTGACATTTGTGTTATAGTCACTTTTTTCTAATATTAACTAATGGAGAAAGTGTTGGTATTTTTTTTCAGGTGGTCATGTTGAGGATAGAGAAACTGTAAGTTGGATAATTGTATATTTTGGAAAAGTTGATTGAGTAACTTGTCTGTTTCGGTTGTCTATTTTATAATATAAAGCTTTCGATGTTAACATTTAGAAGTATTTTATGTTCGTCCTCTGACTAGCAAGTTAATTGTTTCAGTACACGACAACCATTGTTAGTTCAGTGTGTACAAAGTTCAGCTTTGTAATCTATTTCTTTTTCCTTATATTCAATGACTTGTCGTGTGGCTGTGCTCCTATCACACTCCTTCTCTACTATTTATTTCATTTTATGCTTTTTGTTGTTACATATGTTTCTTCCTCTAGAACACCTCTTGTTGCTTTGGAAAATAATAATAACAAAAACCTTCCTAACATGAGAATTCAAGTTTGACTGAACAGTGATGTTAAAAGTGTTTGTTGGTACATTAAGATTCTTCTCAATGAATAACAATTTATTGATGCTTTTCAGTTGTTAGAGGCAGGATTGAGAGAGCTTAACGAAGAAGTAGGACTCTCAATCACACCAAAGGACTGTATCGAAGAAAAAATTGATCTGCTGGCACTGTGGGAGGTGAGACAGGTTAAAAAAAATTTCTGCCATTTACTCAAACAAACCCAGGTTTGCTTCTTCTTTCTTATCAAACATCTATCGTCTTTATCTCCTCTCTTTCTATTTAGTGTTTGTTGCTCTCTTGTAACGCCTCTAGTCTTCAGCATTTATACGATCTACTTAAACTAAACTAAAATTCAGCTTGTTGAAAGCCAGGATAAAGGAGGATGAATGGGCTTTGGGCGAGCACTTTGTACCTCTAATCACCCAAATGCTTATTTATGCTTTAGAAATGCAAAGGAAAACATGTATCGATTAAAAAACCCAGAAGACAGCAGGCCTTTCGTAGATGGAAGGAGTCACTCCACAGGAAGATGTTTCTTTGTTTAGAGGACCCATGACATCTTGTAACTAAACCAGAGGACCATGACACGTGAAATGTGAGAACTGCATGAAAAAAAGTAAGGCTGCTCAGATAGAGACTGAGATGCAAGTGTAAGACCTTATTTGGACTCCGGGAGATGGAATGGATACAGGGAAGAAAGAAGAATTTGTTCATAAGGGTTGACAGGGTTGTATTTAGGCTACAAGAATGAGAAAGAACTGTATAGCCGAGGAATAGCAATTAAGGTGTCAAAGATGGCATGTAATGCTCTTGTCAGATGCAAGGCACATGGTTCATGATAAAAAACATTGAGGAAGCAGCAAAAACTATTTAACAGAAAAGAATCAACAAAACTGCAGGACCTGACAACATTCCAGGCATTAAAGACTTTTATAAAAATCAGTACTTCAATAACCCACTTCGCGTCTTCTTTTGGAAGAGGAATAAATATACGGGGAATTGAAAGAGAGCTAACTCAGTCAGATGCACTAGAAGGCAATCTTAATAAGCAAAAGCAGTAATTACAGAAAAATCATGTTTTTATCAGTTCTTGGAGTAGTTTTGAGAAAGATCATTCTGTGCAGGATTTGAGACAGGAGCAGAACTTCAATTGAGAGTTGAGCAAGTTTGTTATCCCCACAGTAATTTAATTAAGCCTTGAAGGTGAATTTTGCATTTGTAATTGTATGAGTTGAATAAACTTTCAGCACAGCACAGTTAATTAAGAAGTGGTTGGCCTACCTTCAAATTTAATATCCATCTCTAGCAGAAGGACAGAAATAAGTAAGCTCTCAGCCTAAAACAATTCCCCAGACAAACCAAGTTAACACTTTGCTGTCACTTGGCGCAACGACGCAACGGTGAAAATTGAGATTGGGATTGCAGCTGGCTGCTCTATATCGGTCATCTGGTTCATCCTGGTAATGGAGATGCTACTGAGATCTGCAGAATGCTGTGAAGAAGAAGCAAAGGTGAGATCACCAAAGAAAGCCTTTATGGATGATGTGACCCTACTGACAAGAGATGGAGACACAATGCAAAGTGTGTTGAATCGGCTCGATAAGCTTATCACCTGGGCCAGGATGAAGTTTAAAGCTAAAAAGTCTAGAAGCCTGACTATTAACAAAGGAAAACAGAAGCAACTGAAGTTCACAATTGCAGGGGAGCAAATGCCCACAGTAAAAGAACAACCCGTGAAAAGTTTGGGTCGGTGGTACTCAGGAACTCTGTCTGATAGGAGTCAAGGCGTGGAAATCATGAAGCAGGCTGAAAATGGGCTGAAAGCAATTGACCAGACAAAGCTTCCAGGAAAGCACAAGATATGGTGTCTACAGTTTGCCCTCTACCCTCGATTGGCGTGGCCACTGACAATGTATGAAGTTGCTTTGTCAAGAGTTGAGATGATCGAAAGAAAGTGTAACAGCTACATCAGGAAGTGGCTGGGGCTACCCCGTACCATTAACACGTCATCCCTGTACAGACATAGAGGTGCGCTTCAACTACCTCTCACGTCAATTGTGGAGATCTACAAAGCAGGCAAGATTAGAACCGTTTTGATGTTGAGAGAATCAAGGGATAAGGAGATCAGTGGAAAACCTCCAGATGTCAAAACAGCCAGAAAGTGGAAGGCAGAAGTTGCAGCTAACGAGATCATCTCTGCATTGGAGCACGGGGACATTGTCGGTCCAGCGCAACCTGACAGATTAGGGCTAGGTAATGGCGACTTTAGACCTTTCAGGAAAATGTCTCAGCGAGACAGAAGAAAAGCTGCAACAAGACATATGCAAAAGATGGAGGCAGAAAGGCGAGAAATTCATCTCATCCAGTGTAGCCAGCAAGGACAAATGACCAGATGGGAAGAGCATGTTGTGGAAAGAAAAGTCGGGTGGAGTGACATCTGGAAGTGGAATACATCAAGGCTGAGCTTTCTTCTCCGGTCTACGTATGATGTTCTGCCTTCACCGGTGAACCTTGTCAGATGGAAGGTACAGGAGGACAACAAGTGTAGATGCGGTAAGCTAGGAACCATGAAGCATATTTTGTCAAACTGCAACCTAGCTCTTAACAGATACACCTGGAGACACAACGAGGTGTTGAAAGTGCTCACGAAAATGGCGACACAACAGGTGGAAGAAGGAAAATATGCCCCCAAGATACAGAAGCATGGACCCACCAAGATTGCGTTCGTTCCGCAAGGAAGCAAGGTTGCCAAAAGAAAGAAAACGAACGAAGCCATGAAAGACCAGAGCGGAGGCACATGGGAAGTAGCTGCTGACTTAAAAGGCTTTGAGAGATTCTTCCCCATTCCAACTACGAAAAAGCCAGACATTGTGTTATGGGAGGAAAAAGACAAAGAGGTACACTTGGTAGAGCTCACGGTGCCCCACGAGGACAATATCTATGCCGCTCATGAGCGGAAAGAAAACCGTTACGAGGCACTCGTCGAACAATGTGAGGAGGCAGGATGGAAGGCAACCCATTTTCCGGTAGAGGTAGGATGCAGAGGTTTTGTAGCAACAAGCGCCCGTAAGTGGATGAGAGTGGCAGGACTTACTGCAAAGAAAAGCAACGAACTCACAAACTCCCTTCAGGAGACAGCAGAGAAAGCCAGTCATTGGATCTGGTTGAAGCGAGAGGACTCAAGCTGGAATGAATCCTAAAGTTGGCAGCAGAGGAAAACAGTCGAACTAACATGGAGACCTCACATCGGTGAGGGGGCTCGGTGCGTCAGAAAAGCTGTAGAGAGGAAGAGCCCGAAACAGCGACGCATTCTCTCCTGATGATCTCCATGCTAGAGTCCGGGATACGGAGCGTTCGACGGTGAGCAGTGCATACGGCTGTTTAGACTACGTATCCGTTCCGGTCACCTGTCTGCGCCAGGCTTAATAAGTTCATTGCAGTCACTCTCCTGGTTGTGTGACCAGATGGGTATTTTGTACTGCTGGCTGTGTGACTGCAAAGTGTTAAAGAATTTTACATTTAGGATTGGAACCAGGGTCTTGATACCATGATACTAACTAAGCTAATGACCCCCCCATTAGGCTGGCTTAGGAGGACTTGGACTAATGGGGGATGACCTGGAGAAGAAAGTTCTGAAGAGAGATATATATATATATCTAGAGGGACCATACTTGTGGCGTATGAGCCTTTTGAGATTATGAAACTTGATGACGATGGTGATGATTGTACCTTGTGTGCACCATCTCTTAAAAAAGAATTAATTTTTTATATTGAGATGAATCTCAAAGGCATCTGAAGAGCACATCTGTAACACTTGAACCTTTGTTTGATTGTTTTCATCAGATTTGTTGCTTTCCTGTATTTAATATTTCTCCTTTTCTCTCTATTTTTTAGTCTGTGTACCCACCAAAGCTGTCTGTTGGACCACCAAAGCGCCATCATATTGTTGTATATTTTCATGCAAAACTGAGAAAAGAATTGACTGCCATTGCCATGGAAGAAAGAACTAAGATAGACCCAAATGAAGTATTATCATGTGCTTGGTTGAACAAAGACTTGGTCTCAGCTATAGCACAATCGTATGACGAGGACCACAATGAAGGGATGAAGATTGACCACCTGCCACCAACATTTAGGTGAGTGACAATGAGCTCTGCCTCTTCCTCACAGTTATTGGATATGCTTTCAGTCTCGGGCTTTTTGTTATATTTTGATTTTTTAAAGTCGGTACTCTGTCTTTTCTTTGCTTGTTAAAGAGCTATGGTACCGTACTTAATTTGACCATACAAATTATTTTCCATGCTTGAAATTTATATTTGCATGCTAAAGAGCAAATTTACAGTATTCGGTTCTTTAAAAAAGTTAAGAATTGCCTCCCAAGGAAGTGGGTGCGTTAAACTCTGTTTGCAAAGAGTTCAGATGGCATTATACAATTCTCACTAAAAAAGTTGGATGTAGGGCCTACATTGTTGTACCTCATCAGAAAAACTGATATATATGGCAAGTTGTCATACAATGAAAATGCATCTTTTTGATATATAATATGTGAAGTGTGGTGTTGTAATCAGGCACTTGAGAAAATATTGAAATAAAAAATGTTGGCTTTTTTTGGCTGGTTTGACAATTTTTATCGAATTTTGTTTTTTTGGCTCAACACCTTTGCTGTCCATTTAAAAACACATTTTTATGTGTATTTACTGAAAAATGTTGATTAAAGGCACAAAAAATATATACATTTTCAGTTTTTAAGGACTCTCAAACTTTGGAAATCACCAAATTTTGACTGCCATTTTCTTGTTAATTTTACCACTGAAATCAGGTAACCCCCCTCTTTCAATCAATATATATATATATATCGGCTTTTATTTCTCGATAGATGGGTAATTTTTTCCTTAAAAATATAGACAAATGAACAAGCTTTAAGATTACACCAATACCTCGAAATGCCCCAAAATTGACAAGTGCCTGATTCCACTGTGTCGTAATACATATATATTATATGTTAAAGAAAGAAATCTGGTGATGAAAAATAAATCTAAATAAAAATTTATCTTTTCAGCTTCTAACTGTGTGAAATCTTTGTTTTAAAGGGCTCTTACTCTAAATGCAAACAAGGAGCAGTATGTGGCGGATCTCCAAACAGAACCACTGTTCTCCATCCACAAGGACTCTGCTTCACAAAGCGACACTGAGAGGGTTAGCACCGGGACAAAGTTTGCCTTACAGCAGCTACTGAGCATGTCAACCGCACAGAAATGAAAGTAATCTATTTATAGTAGTCTAGTTTATGTTCAATTCTTTCAGATTTTAAATTTTATTCTATGCACAGATGTTCATCTCTCCTCTTTGTTATGTGGTCTTATTTAATCATTTTTACGGTGACTAGATGGAAACTATTTCAAAATTAATGGTGGTACAGTGGAACTCAGTTTTAATGAACTCGGATTCAACGAAAACTCGAATTCAACTAAAGGAGTTGGATTCCCCAAAATTTTTATTCATAAAAATCAATAAAAGTAAGTCGGATTCAATGAACACATAAATGAGCAAGCTCGGATTTCAACGAAGTTGTTTGCAGGGCGAACTGCTTATGCGACCAATCAGTGGCCTCCTTTCATACTTGTTAGCACACACCAATGTCTTAACGCGTGTCACATACATGTGACGTGTGGCTGTGTGTGCATGTGTTGTTGATGTGTTATTTTGTACATCTTGAAGGCACAAACACACTAGAGAATTCAACATATATTGATGTATAGAACGATAACACATGTGCTAAGATTCTGCAGCTAGGGAAGCCATATTTTTATTCTCGTCGTTTTGTTATCGTGGCCAGGTACAACAAATTCGTGATATGCCTGTTAGGCTAATAATGGATATTATTGTTACTATGACAGATTGCATATCAACATCCTTTCATTCCTTTTTTTTTTAAACATTAAAGTTACCAATCATGTCAATTTCCAGATAACAAAATGTATCTTTTGTATGCTACAAGTATTCTTTACTTTAACTTACTGTTACCATTAGTGTTAGTATTTTATGTTTTGTCTTTATTTTATGAAAAGCTGTTAAATGTATTTATTTATTTGTTAAAAAAAAAAAAGAATAGGCATATTTCTCCTCTTTCTCTTTTCTTTCAAACAAGAAAAAAAAATGATAATCAGTCGCACATAACTCTCGATTAATTACCTTGAGTTACTACATGGAATAAACTCTTACTGATTGCTATTTTCAGTATTAGACACATTAAATGTCATCCAGGATTGAAAAGACTACTAATGATTAATTAATTAACCCTAAAATTATTCATGTGTGGTATCTTATGGTCATCACAAATATCTTAATACCAGTAATTTAGTTATAACAGTTTAGGACTGTCTTGTGCTTTGGGAATCTTCAGTCCACTAAGTAAAAAGTAAAATTAACTGAAAAAGTGTGTCCAGTGGGTCTGAAGTAAACAAAACTTTTAACAGTGGCAAAATGATAGAGTTAAAAGTTACTGATTTGGTTGGACCCTTCAACCTGTAGGATATTATTTCTAAAGAAAAATTATCATTGGTTGATCTTTATCAACCTTAAAAAAATGATCAGTCACTCTAAGAGTGTTGCATTTAGTAGTGTTAAGTGCAAAAATTACCTGTTGTTTGCTACCGTGGAAACCTGATATAACAGGGATGGTGGGACCAGAGAAAAAGTCCTGTTATATCAGATTCCTGTTAAAATCAGAAATACAAGGGAAGAAAGCATTTATGGACTAATCCTTCTGTATTTATTCATGGGTAGTTTCCCTTGCCACAAGTGCCCACGAACAGGGGTTTTGGCCATTGTCAGGTCTGCGCATGACACATTATGCGTGCATGTAGCTAGGCTAAGGACTAGAAGACCGAAGTGTGCAGCACACCGAAGCCCTCCCTCGCTTCTCCCGATGTGTGTGCTTGCTAAGTTGCTTGCAGCAGTAGCGTGGCTTGCTCAATCACTGTGTTACTATCTCTTTCTCTTACTTTTTATACATTGTTAACAAGGCTTTGTCCCTGCTATAACTGATTAGGCTCCGATGATGCCCTGTTATTGACGATAATTTTTAATAGAGGCAAAGAGTAAGAAAAAACAGGGATTTAAAAAATCCCCGTTATTACCGATTGCCTCTTATTACTGGGCCTGTTATAAATGGTTTCCACTGTGTGTAAGTAGTTGCTGCACTGCTCACAATTCAACTAATATGACCTATTCAGTATACTTGTTGGGCCTTTTAACAATTCGACCACTACGAGTTTTATAGTGTGTGTTTGAATTTTGTCTGTGGTGCGACAGGGTAGGAAGTGACAAGTTGGGAGTTTTGGAACTCTGCCTGTGACTTCGGTGATTTCCTTAAGTCACGTTTGACTTGAGTTTTGAATTTCTGCTGATAGTTCGATAGATTCTTCTTTAATGTAGAGTGGTATGTCTGTGTTGTCTCTTGCTGGCATACCAAATGCTGGATTGATGCATCGTCGATTCCTTGTGAATGTTTTGCGTTGCACTCAACGTCATATGATCTATCGTTGTTGTGTCTTGTGACTATGGTCCCTTGATACCATGTATTTTCTTGATTGAATGGTAAGAAATATGCTGCCTGTCCTGGTGCAAGTTTTGGAAGGTTTTTGTCAGTTTTGTTGAAGTATTTCTGTACAGATTTTTTTCGTAGAACTCTTTTTTGTTCTGAAATGTTCTTGTTTTGTTGATTGTCATACAGCTTTGGTACCTTTGATCTTGTACTTCTCTGGAACAACATTTCTACTTGGCTAAGATTTGTATCTTGCCTTGGTGAGTTTCGGTGTTTTAGCCGAGCTTAGAAGATGTCACCATACGCTTGTTTTGTCTTTTTGATAAGTTTCTTGACTGATTTGACAACTGCTTCAGCTTTACCATTGGACTGATGGTAATGTGGTAAAGATTTCTTGTGAATGATTTTCCACTCATCGGTGGAGTTCTTGAACTGTTCAGAAGTTAGCTGTGGACCACAATCACTAACTAGCTGTTTTGGGATGCCATGTCTGGCAAACAGGCTTTTCAACTTGGTGATTGTGTGGTTGGATGTAGTACTCGTCATGGGTTCAATTTCAATAAAATTTGAGTAACAGTTCACTATGACCATATCGTTTCGATTCTCCAACTCGAAGAAATCAATCCCTACTTTTTCCCAAGGTGATTTTCCTTCGTGTTGTTGCAATGATTCTTTAATGTTTCCACTTTTGTGGACTTGACAACTTTCACAATTTTGAGTCGTTCGTTTCAGTTCTTTGTTTATTCTGGCCAGTAAACAGTAGATCTTGCTCTTCTGATCATTACATCATAACCTTAGTGTGCACAGTGAAGTCTGTCTTTGGTCTTGGTTCTCAGAGACTTAGGAATAATTACACGGTTCCCCATAATCAACAAGTCATCATAACATGTAATGATTTTTTTTAAATTGTAGAAACTCTGTAGTTCATGTCTGATTGTTTCACGATCGGGTCATCCTTTCAAAATCGTGGTTGTCAACTTTGATGATTTTTCATCTAATGATACGTGCCAATATAATGCTTCTTCAACGTCAAGTTTACTGAAGTATTTTGCATTGTGTTCATGCCTGATAACCTCTAGAGTTGGAAGTTTGTAATGTTCCCGCATCAATGCTTTATTCAGTGGTTCGGATCTATGCAAATTCTGATATCTTTGTTAGGTTTTTCAACGATTGTCATCTGACTCACCCACTCAGTTGGTTCCGGTTCGGCTACAAGAATGCCTTGACTTAACAGCTCATCTAACTTGGATTTAACTTTGTTCTTCAATGCTAGTGGTATTCTTCTGCATGACAGTACTTTTGGTGCTACTTCTGGGTCAACTTTTAGGGATGATGTCCCAAGACCATTATGAGTTTCTTGTACTTGAGCAATGTAGTTGTGCTCTTTAAGCTCTACCAGGTCAAAGATTTGAGTTGCCTGGAGACCCAATAAAGAAGTAAGGTTGTTGTCAACAACCACATTAGTGATGTTAGAAACTTGACCAGTTTTTAGATTCTGTGTTGGGTATGTCACTTCACCAAGTGGTTTTGCAGTTGAATGATTCCACATTATCATTCTTGTTTGATCTTTGTTTCTTTCATGTCATTTGCTTTCACAAATTTTCTTGCGATAGTGTTGACTGTTGCTCCTGTGTCCAATAGGATAGGAAACGTACCGGTATTTGCTTTGCACCAACGTGTTAGAGCTTGTTTTTGTCTACTCCACTGTGAGTAAATGTTCTGTATCATCACTGCTGTCTTCCGAACTTTCTTCAATGCATCGCATTGCTTGAACTTGCTTAGATCTGCATTTCGCCGCAAAGTGATTCTTCTTCTTGCAGAGGGAGCATACTTTCCATTATGCTGCGCTCTTAGATTTTAGTGGCTCGTGATCTCTTCCACAAAATTTGCAGTTGACTATGCTGGATTTCTTGCTGGAAGTGGCAGGTTTAGATTTAGGTGGAACTGGGGGTGCTGAAATTTTTTTCATCACCTCCTTTCATCCTACTGCTTTGAAGGAAACCTTGTTTAGTTCACTCGTTTCACCCTGTATTGCTGTCAGTTGTTTCTTTGATTGTTCCATTTAATTATTCGGGCGATGTCGACACATTCGGTGAGATGCAGCATTATAATTATTAACTTGAAAATTTTATCGTTTAAAAGCTGTGATAACCGTCTTTATTCATGGGTATGCTGTTTGTGTGTCCATAACTTTACAAGTTATGATTTTAACTATATTATATGTGTGTGTGTGTGTGTGGAGAGAGAGTGAGAGAGAGAGAGGGAGAGAGAGATCAGAGAGGGGGGGAAGAGAGGGGGAGAGAGAGAGAGAGGGAGAAAGAGAGAGAGAGAGAGAGAAAGAGAGAGAGAGGGAGAGAGAGAGAGGGAGAGAGAGAGAAAGAGTGGTGACTACATGTCATCTGTTAATAATTTTCGTTTGTTGCTAAAACTAAAGTGATTGAATGTCACTCCCCTGTTGTCTTCTCCCCTACTTTTCTCTGTGATTTTCTATAACGTTACTAGCTCTATAAAATTGTTCTTTTGTTCCCATCAGAAAAAAGACCACTACTAGTACAATGCAGATTTAACATAATGCTTGTTGATCTCTATACAATATATGTGTGAATGTTTTCATAAACAGGTGATCATTTTTATGTCTCAGGAATTGATCAGTATGTGTCCAGTGAATGAGTGAATATATTTTTTGTTGGTTAAATAATAGTTGTGATTTTTTAATTAACAAATTCTGAAAAGAGAAAATTTATTTGATGTTCCAGTTTGCTGTGATAACCTTCTACTTTCTACATCATGACTTTTGACTATGATGTGAAAAAAAAAATGTATTTGGCTGACTAGGCCTACATCTTGTATTAAAGTAAATTTTAGAAGAGCAGATCTTATTTGGTTTTATCTATGTATGTGTCTAAGTCTAAGCTTGTGGCTGTAAAACCGTTTGTGCTTTATCAATGGTAAAAGTCACTAAGTGGGTGGTTGGCAGGTGCTCTGTTGTGGTTTGCTTCTTCTTTCCTATGAAACATCTATCGTCCTTATCTCCCCTTCTTCTTTCTTTTTTATGTCTGTTCCTCTCTTGTAACATCTCTAATCTTCTGGCGCTCATATACCCTTATATGCAGTTGCGAGCGCTGTAAAACCTCTACTAAAACAAACAAAAAAGTCATTAATTGTGTACGTCCAAAATGAATTACCAGTATAGATTTCAAGGGATGTGTCCCAAATGTCATATATTGGTGTTGTTGCCCGTAGTTGTGTTCAGTATCGTATTTGTTGTGTCCTGTAGTAGTGGAGTCCAACAAGTCAAAAAACTAAACAAGTAACATGGCTGCTTGCTGAGTGTTTATCAACTCATGTCATCTAAAACTTAACATGGTGTCTGAATAAAGGAACCTCGTAACGAAAATTGCTAACCAGAGGCGAAGTATTTTTTGCTCAGCCGAAACCTGCACTGAACATTACGCCTGGAAGTCGGGATCGCAATATTTAGCAAAATTAAACTGGACCTCTGCAACCGTACTGAGGACGGAGTTGTGCCCACAGTCAGCACATCAAAATCTAAACCTCAAACGCAGGCCTTCAAGACTGGACAAGAGAACAAATGCACAAAGATTCCCGAAACGTGAAAAGGTGAAAGCACAAGGGAAGTCCTTTTTGTGCTCACGTTGTGGGTTACACACACAGTCCAAGGTCCTGTCCAGCCTACAGAAAGCTCTGCAATAACTGTAACAAAAAGAACCATTTCGCCAAGCAGTGTCAGTTGAAGGGTATGATCGCCTGTGCAGAGGCTCGGTCATCTGATGAAAGTGACTCGGACGAGTTCTATCTAGGCACTGTGAGCAGTGTGAACCAAGCCTGGTATGTGGCCCTCAACTGTAGAG